TTTAGACCGTATTATTGCATGCTTAGTGTGTGCCACCTTTATCATGGGGCCAGAGCAGAGAATAAGACCAGCTCCCCGCCAGACCAGAAAGCCACAGAGTAAGAGAAGTGATTTGATGGGAACCTAGAGAAGGGACCCAGATGTTAGGGGCTATGGTTGACTGTGAGATGAGATGGACTCTGACCCCTGGTTCCCCCTGATTCTAGGTTCCAATGCTTCGACTTAGCTCGAGGCCTGAAGAGGTCACAGCCTGGCTGCAGGCAGAGAACTTCTCCGTTGTGTGAGTGCCTGGCCCTACCGGATGTGGAGGGAGAAACTTTATAAAGGGCTAACCAAGGAAACCCAGAGACCCAGAACATACAACCTGGCCTACATTGTACATGACCCCGATCCAGCACTGTCTCTGCTGAGTTAGAGGACAGAGCAGAGGCGTGTTCAAGCCTACATTAGAGATTAAGTGGGGAACCCTGCTGTGGCAAAGGCAGCAAGGATCAGGGGAGTGGACTCAGGAAGAACCCCAGCTGCCAGCTCAGTCGCCCCTCCCCAGCCAGAAGATTCTCTCCCAGAGCACTTCTTTCAAGCCTGGAAGTTCTGAAATTGGCTAAAGCCAAATGCTGACTTTACTCCTTCACTCCCAGACAGCCTACTCCATGAATTTTTCTGTAACCCCAACCTCTAAGCCCAAAGAGCCCCTTTTCTACCCAAATGCTCAGGCCTAGAGTGCTTCCAGTGCACCACTGATGGCTTTTGCTGTTTCGTTCACAGCACGGTGAGGACACTTGGGTCCCTGACGGGGAGCCAGCTACTTCACATGAGACCTGGGGAGCTACAGATGCTATGTCCACAGGAGGCCCCAAGAATCCTGTCCCGGCTGGAGGCTGTCAGAAGGATGCTGGGGGTGAGGACACCCTGGGGTCCTGACACCCATTGGGACTGTCTGGTGCTCCTGGGTGAGAGAGAGTGCGAAGTTGACAAGCCTGCCGGCCCAGCCCTGGGGCAGAACTGAGTGTGGCGGGTGCTGGGCACAGGATATTCCCCCAGGGGCTTAGCTTCATGCATTCAGGCTTACCTTGAGGTTCCAAGCTTATTGGTGGCATAAGCTCTGCAGATCCCTCACCTGCCACCAGCCTCATCTGAATCTTTTTCTTTCCTCAGATAAGCCCTTAGGCACCAGCTTAGACACCTCCAAGAACCAGGCCCTGCTGATGCAAGATGGCAGATCTGATACCCATTAGAGCCCCGAGAATTCCTCTTCTGGATCCCAGTTTGCAGCAAACCCCACGCCCCAGCTCACACAGCGAAAACAATGGACAGGCCCAGAGGCTGAAGCAAACCGTGCCTATTCTGGCTGTGTTGGAGTCTCCCCAGTAACCACCTATTTATTTTATCTCTTTCCCAAACCTGGAGCATTTATGCCTAGGCTTGTCAAGAATCTGTTCAGTCCCTCTCCTTCTCAATAAAAGCATCTTCAAGCTTGTCATGTGCCTCCCTTGCGGCTTCTTCTGGGCCTGAGGGAGACCAAAGGCAGGGAGGCAGGAAGGGCTGGAACACTTGGCATGAAAACAGCAGCAAGCCTACATCCATCACTGAGCCAGATTGTTTGAATGTGAGTGGACATTCACACAGCAACCTGGAGCTGGGAATCAGAATTTGAGAATCATGGTCCAAGCTCTCCTGACTCTCTTTCCAAACAAACTCCAAAATAAAGCTATGCTCACCATCTTTTTCGCACATGCGTCTCTCAGTATATTCCAAGGCACCTAGCACAGCTGCAGGCACACCACTTCACAGTAGCAAAGAGCACAAGGATCGACAGCTGTGGGCTTTGGTCAGTTGCACCAGCTGGCTGGGTGAACTCCAGCAAGTCATTCCACTCTTTGGGACCCTGTTTTCTCAAGGGTTAAGCAAAGAATCTGGACTGTCCATAGCTTTGTATATCTTTTAGTAAAAGTAGCTTTCTTTAATTTCAAAGGAGTCCCCTCTCTACATACCAGTAGCTATACTTGTATTAATTTAGTCAACAGATAAGGCCCAATGTACTTATGGATTTGAGGGTTCTTAAGATGTTCCCTTAAATCTCTCTTAGCTGAATTTGTCCATGACCCTAACATTGTCTGGGCCCCAGACTGCCCTATTTTTAGACTGCCTATGTCATTCCCTTAAGTTCCTGGCCTCAGAAAATGTTCCTGGCCTCAGAAAATCATCTCTCATAGCTGTTAACAGAATAGGAAAGCAACAATTTTCCCTCACAAAAGAGAGAAAAGGTGAGACCCTTTGGGTGTGACTTGTCAAGGGCAAAAGTTACCCAGAAAAGTTAATTTCTTGGGATGAGGGAGGAGGTATTAACCCATCACCCTCCATTGCCTCCCAGAGCTAAAGGAGCCTAGAAGCAGGGAAACTGTTCATGACCAGAAAAAAGTGTTTTCACCTGGTATTCCCCAGACTTCCCAAGAAGACTGCCTTGCAGCAAGAGGCTGTTTAGATGGCCAAGTGCAGGGAAACTAGCACCAACTGTGTTATTAGACAGATCTAGGTTTGAATCCCAGACCATCTGTGGGACCTCAAGCTTAGAGGAGCAACTCCCCTAACCGCTCCAGGAAGTTTCTTCTAGAAAATGGGCGTAACACCTACTTCCTAAAGTTGTTGTGCAGCTTAAATTGGAATAAATTAGCTAACATACGTAAACACTTAGATATTGCCTGGCATATGATAGGTACTCAATAAACGCTAATCTTAAACCTCAGGTGAATTTGTGACTGGCCTTTTGCTTTCTTGGGAATGAGAGACACAGGCATTATAAATTTCACCTGTCCCTGTGGTTTGTACTCTTTTCCTTTCTTCTGTTTAGCAAAATGCCCTTTTTAAAAGTCCCAACCTTGCTTCAGTTGAACTGATGGGCAAATGTGATTTCCCACACCCAAGCTAGGGGATCTAGGAGCTCAGAGTGCCCTGAGGGCTGTGCTGTGGAGGCCTGGCCAGAACCCTCAGAGCTGCTCAGGACTCCTTCCTCTGTCACTCCTCTACAGTCAACTAGAACCCTATCTCTCCCGAGTTGACCCTGCTGCAAATCTGTGCCCCGTTTCATTTGCATGGGCCCTGCTGAAATTCAGAAGCTTAGTTCTTCCCATGACTATAGGGGCCTCCTGCAGGTCTCTTGCTCTGTCAAGGTCAAAACCCCTACTTTCCTAAATTCAACCATTGATTCTCCATCTTCATCTTACTTGATCAGCCACACTTGACACAGTTGATCACTTCTCCCTTTAAACATCTTCACTTGGCTTCCGAGGCCCTTTGTTTTCCTCCTACCTCCCTGGCGATTCCTTTTCAGACTACTTTGCTGGTTCGCTCTCATTTTTCCCTAATCTTTACATGTTGATATGCCAGAGCACCTCAAACCCTTAGACCTCATCTCTGCTACTCGCGCTCCCATGGTGATCTCATTTAGTCTCTGGTTTCAAACGCAATCTACAGAGTGATCACTCCTGTACTTGGTGTTTCCCTTTTCCTGGAGTTCTCCCTGCCTCCTGCAGGTAGGAAGTGATTCAAGATAAGAGATGGAGAGAGCTCTTCTGGCCAGGATAGAGGGTGATTCTGAGAAGGCTTCAAGGAATAGGTGAGCTTTTGAGCAAGGCTACTTGAGGAAGGGTAGGCCGTGGACATTAGGGTGCAGGCAGGAGCAGAGCAAACATGCTTGTAAAACGAACAGCAATTATTCTGTTTTATATTTATATCAGCCCATGGTGGCCCCTACAGCAGAGTGGCTTGATCTCTCACCTCCTTCAGGTCTTTGTTTAAAGATTAACTTCTTCATGAGGCCTTCTATGAACATATCCTTTAAAAACACAAATCCCCTTCCTGCTAGGACTCCCCCAATTCCCACCCTGAGACCCCCCTCTTCTCGATTTTATTTCTCTCTATAGGATGTGTATCACCATCGGACTTACTAGATATTTACTATATATTAGTTTATTTATTCCCCATTAGAATGTAAACTTCCTGAGGGCAGGGATTTTGTCTGTTGAGTTCAATTCTGTATCCCCAGTACCTAAGAGTGCCTGTCCATAACGGGCATGTTAAACATTGTTGGACAGATGAATGAGTGAATGAAAAATGGTAGTACCTTTCTTCCTCCAGTCCATGCTACACAAAGGGGCAAGATTAATTTCCCTAAATGCGTGAGCATTAGGAAGTGGGAGGGGTTGGAGAAGGAGGAAATTATAATAAGGAAACCATAAACTACTTAAGCCCATGAAACAAAGGTAGGAAACATTCAAGATAAGAGACCTCTTCTGGCCAGCATAGAGGTTGGTTCTGAGAAGACTTCAAGGAAAAGGCAGACATTTGAGCAAGGCTGCTGAGGAAGGATAGGCTGTGGATATTAGGCTGCAGGCAGGAGGATCACAGGGCAAACACTCCAAGGCGGGAAATGCAAGTGTGTGTAGAAGGAACAGCAAGCATTTTTGGGTTGGGCTGGCTTATGAAGTTGTGACGGGCTGACGGCGAGATAGGACTGGAAAAGCACGTTGGGGTCAGGTTGCAGAGGTCCTTGACTGACAGAGAGGGGAGCTTGGTCTGTGGGGAATCCTCTGCTCTGTGTGGTCAGAGGCTGGTCCGACTCTCCTGCCTTGCCCCAGTCTCCCTATCCCACATTCCAGCCCCGGCTGGCTCGGTAAAAACGGCGCGAATCTCGCTCTCCCTGGGTAACTAGGGTCCCAACTGCCTGGCTAGTGTTGCTTTTCGCGTCTTCACTGACACCATTAATGAATGAAGTCTGGCTCCCACCCGTGGGGAAGGGAGGAGCCTCAACCTCCGGTCCGCTTGCTCGCCTGCAGCGCTCCCGCCCGTGTCCCGCCTCGGCTTGCGAGGCCCTGAACCCCAACCCCGACAGAAGTCGCGCCTGCGCACGGCCCTGTGGAGCCGCGGAGGGAGGGGACCGAGAACGGGGCGGAGGCGGAGTCAGGACGCCAGCGCGTGGGCCCCGCCCCCTTATGTCGGGTATAAAGCCCCTCCCGCTCACGGTTTCTCCAGTCCGCCAAGGCTCGGAAATCTTTCACCATGTCGTGCGAGTCGTCTATGGTTTTGGGGTACTGGGATATTCGTGGGGTGAGTGCCGTCTCAACGGTAGAGCCGCTCGGTCAAAGAGACTGACGCGGAGACGGCGGGTCTCTGGGTTCGCGGTCTCCAGTAGGAGCAGCTCTACGCGGGAGCATTTTCGAGCTGCCGAGCCACAGACGTCGACCCCTGCCCAGCCTCTGGGATGGCGGGCCCTGTGGGGAGGGGCCGAGGAGACCACGCCGGGGCCGGGCTTGGGGGGCAGCTTAACCACCGCCCCGGCAGGATGCAGGGGCTCGGCAGCCCCGGAGCCGGGGACGTTAGCGGGCGGGCGTTGGGAATGGGTGGGAGCTGCGCAGTCGCTGAACCGCTGTTTCCCCCAGCTGGCGCACGCCATCCGCCTGCTCCTGGAGTTCACGGATACCTCCTATGAGGAGAAACGATACACGTGTGGGGAAGGTAATGCCGCTCTGCGTGCCCTTGTAGCCAAGCTGGCCCTCCACCTGCCCAGGTCTTCTTAGGCCCAGAGGGTGGTGGCATCGCGCCAAGGCCGGGTGGGACGTCTGCCCCAGTCTGGATGGATAGCGACACATCCTTTATCTGGAACTCGGAGTTCTCTCTTTAACATAGCCCAACCGCATCTTAATGCTTAACCAAATAGGGCTCAGAGGCTCAATGGTTATGCGTTTGGGGCCCGGGAATTTGAGGTATTGGGACCAAGTCATTTCTTTAGATCTTTCGCTCTTGTCAGGTGAGGTATTAAGGAGGTTGGGTCCCACTTAATTCTGTCTCTTACAGCTCCTGACTATGATCGAAGCCAATGGCTGGATGTGAAATTCAAGCTGGACCTGGACTTTCCTAATGTAAGTGGCTTTAGTAGAGGTGGCGGGCAGAAGGGAAAGCCTTCAAGTGTATCCATCCTTGCCTCTTTCCTGCCTGGTACAGAAGGATGCAAAATAGGGGATCTTAACCTGGATAGAATAAATAGAATTCAGGGGTCCTTCAACTGGATGGATATGTATTTTCATTCCCATTAACCACTAGCAACAGTGATTTCCTTTTATTGTGAAGAGAGACAATAAGTGACATTGGTTATTAGCCATGTCTGTCACTTTGTGACTAGTAGAAATCAGGTATTTTCTTTTTTGTGTGTTTTTTGTTCTTTTGTTTTGAGACAGGGTCTCTGTTGCTTAGGCTGGAGTGCAGTGGCACAATCGCAGCTCACTGCAGCCTCAACCTCCCAGGCTCAAGCAGTCCTCCCACCTCAGCCTCCCAAGGAGCTGGGACTACAGGCACAGGCCACCATGCCCAGCTAATTTTCGTATTTTTGTTAGAGATGGGGTTTTGCCATGTTACCCAGTCCGATCCTGAACTCCTGGGCTCAAACAATCCTCCCACCTTGGCCTTCCAAAGTGTTGGGATTATAGGCGTGAGCCACTGTGCCCAGCCTGAAATCAGGTAGTTTTATATTCTATTAAATGCATTGCAGATATTTTAAGTGATATTTATATACGTGTAAATAAATATATACATATGTTATTTACTTTGAGACTATGTTAGTCATTACATCTGCTTACTATTTAATGCATTAATAGGCATATTACGCTATTTGAATTTTTTAAAATATTTTTTGGTTGTGTAAATAATCTATTTTGCTTCATGCTTTTAACAACTTTATTCTGAGAAAAGGTCCATGGCATGCACATACACCCACACATACACACACTGATTTAAGAACCCCTGTCTAGAATCTCGTGGACCCAGTTGCTGCCTTCTACTTATTTTCTTTTTTCTCCTAATGCAGCATCTTCTCTTTCTTGTTCACTGCCCTGCAAGTATTCTTTTCCCCAGGAGAGAGAGGTAGGGAATCAAGAGAGAGGTAGGTTGTTCATCTGGCCTGTCCTTTTCCTTTCAGCTGCCCTACCTCATGGATGGGAAGAACAAGATCACCCAGAGCAATGCCATCTTGCGCTACATCGCTCGCAAGCACAACATGTGTGAGTAGGGTAGGGCTGGGGAGGGACCCCAGGCTGGTAGTTTGTCTGAGAGTAGACAATGCCAAGGGTGATTTGTTATCATTTGGCCTACAGGTGGTGAGACTGAGGAAGAAAAGATTCGAGTGGACATCATAGAGAACCAAGTGATGGATTTCCGCACACAACTGATAAGGCTGTGTTACAGCTCTGATCACGTGAGTTTCTTTAGCACACATCTGCTGAATGGAGTATCAGAAAAAGGGGTATTTAGGAACCCAAGGGTTATCTCTGTTTCATTCTGCTGCTGCTACCTTCCCACCAACCCAGATTATTAGAATAAGAAACAGAACTTATAATTTTTGGTTTGTTTTGTCATGTAATTCCGGTTCTGGTGCCTCCTCTTTCCAAACTCCTCCTTCCCACCCTGCCATCCTCAAGTGAAGGCAATGAGAAGCCACCTAGAGAAGGGGCTACTAAATGTCCATCACTGGCCTGTGCCCTGATTAACTACAAAAGTGATCACCACTATTCTCATTCTGTTTTTTCCTCTTAGGAAAAACTGAAGCCTCAGTACTTGGAAGAGCTACCTGGACAACTGAAACAATTCTCCGTGTTTCTGGGGAAATTCTCATGGTTTGCAGGGGAAAAGGTAGGAAGAAGGGAAAAGAAGAGCATACCTTCTATCTCTGCAGGCTACTACTCCTCAGATCCAAGCATCTTATTGCTTTTCTTCTAGCTCACCTTTGTGGATTTTCTCACCTATGATATCTTGGATCAGAACCGTATATTTGAGCCCAAGTGCCTGGATGAGTTCCCAAACCTGAAGGCTTTTATGTGCCGTTTTGAGGTGATGTTTCCTGCACCTTTCTCTTATAAAAACACTCACAGGCTTCCCTGGGCCCTGTAGGATCCCGTTGTGGTGGATTCTTGCCTGGCTTTTGCCTAAAGGGATCAATGGTTGGACACCTCTAGACCTTTAAGTCTTGGGAAAAGCCTGACTTCTACACCTTGAAGGCACTGTCTACAAAAAGTGGAGGAGGTAGACATAGGCAACATGTGAAGGTTGCTGTTTTGGTATGCATCTGTTGGACTGGATTGGGGTCTTTATAAGATTTGGTGTATTTTCCTTTCAGGCTTTGGAGAAAATCGCTGCCTATATACAGTCTGATCAGTTCTTCAAGATGCCCATCAACAACAAGATGGCCCAGTGGGGCAACAAGCCTGTATGCTGAGCAGGAGGTAGACTTGCAGAGCTTGTTTTGTTTCATCCTGTCCCTAAGGGGTCAGCACTCTTTCTTTGCTCTTTTCAATAAATAGCATTTAGGTTACTGGTGTCCAGCTGAATTTCTCTTGGGTATAAAGGCTAAAAGGGAAAAAGAATATGTGGAGAATCATCAAGATATGAATTGAATCACTGCAACACTGGCATCCCCCTACTCCCCAACTGAGTTCAAGCACTGTAGGTTCATGCCCAAGCCTTGAGAGTGGGTACTAGAAAAAGAGATTGCACAGTTGGAGAGAGCAGGTATGTTAAATGGGACTGGAGTCCCTGTGAAGACTGGGTGAAGTAAAACTGTGGTACTGATGGACTTAACTGGAGTTCAAAAACCGTCCTGTGTACACATGGGAGTTTAGTGTGATAAAGGTAGTATTTCAGACTGGTGGTCTAGCCAGTAGAGTTGGGACAATTGCTTACTCATTAAAAATAATAGACCCCCCACTTGACACTATTCACTAAAATCTGGAATTTAAGGCCCAACATTAAACACAGAGCTGTTGAAGTATTGATGAAAATGTAAGAATTTTTGTGACCATGGGGTAGGAGAAGTTTCTTTAAAGACATAAGAAAAAACCATAGGCTGCTCTGCCTGTGGAGTAGCCATTCTTTATTCTTTTACTTTTTCAAACAATAACAAAATCACAAAGGAAAGATTTACCAATTGAATAGGGTCAAATTCTACAACTTTTCCTAAGCCACACACAATAAATGACAAGTGAGACAAAGAGCACTAGTATAAAGATTATATAAAGACCTGTAAATCATTAAGACAACTGAGTTCTTAAAAATGGACAAAATCAATGAATAATTTGTAAAGTAGAAATGTGACCAAAAACATCTAAAAGATGTTTATAATGCAAGGAACTATAAATTACAACAGTGAGAAACCATATTTCCTTCTATCCGATGAGTAAAAAGTTTCTAAAGTGTTGGCAAGGCTTGGGAAAGTGATATGCATTTCCTGCTGGTCAACTTGTAAATTAGTATAGCTACTTTGGAGGATAATTTAGCAACATCTGCTAAAATTTAAATCATATCCTATGACCCAGCAATTCCATGCTATAAAAACTCATCCATGGCTGGGCTTGGTGACTTACACCTGTAATCCCAGCACTTTGGGAGGCTGAAGTGGGAGGATCACGAGGTCAAGAGATCGAGACCATCCTGGCCAACATGGTGAAACTCCGTTTCTACTAAAAATATAAAAATTAGCTGGGTATGGTGGCATGTGCCTATAGTCCCAGCTACTCAGGAGGCTGAGGCAGGAGGATTGCTTGAACCCAGGAGGCAGAGTTTGCAGTGAGCTGAGATCACGCCACTGCACTCCAACCTGGCTACAGAGCAAGACTCTGTCTCAAAAAAATAAAAAACCTCATTCAAAGAGGCATATACTAAGATGTTCACTGTGGCATTATTTGTAATGACAGATGAGCGGAAACCATGTAAATACCTGTCAATACTATGGAGTACCACGTGGCAGTGGAAGAATGAGACTGAACTGTGTGAACTAACCTGCAAAGATTCCCAAAACAGGCCAGTTGTGGTTGCTCCCAGCTGTAATAACCACACTTTCAGAGGCTGAGGTGGGAGGATCACTTGAGGCCAGGAGTTTAAGACCAGCCTGGGCAACATAGTGAGACCCCTGTCTCCCAAAAAAAATTTTTTTAGCTGGGCACAGTTGCTCATGCATAGTCCCAGCTACTCAGGAGGCTGAGGTGGGAGGATTGCTTGAGCCCAGGAATTTGAAGCTGCAGTGAGCTGTGTTCTTGCCACTGCACTCCAACCTGGGTGACTGAGCAAGACGCTATCTCTTAAAAAAATAAAAAAGATCTCCAGGCATAGAGAAGAGTCTGGAGGGAAACACCAAACTCATAACAGGCTTACTGTAGGCAAGTGGGATAAAGGCCCAGACGCCATGGTGGGAGTTAAAGGGCATTTCCAAGTTAAGGCTAAGACTTGCTTTTCTAACTAAGAGAATGTACTTATGCATTGCTTGTGTAGTAGAAACTAGTTTTAAGAAAAGAAAGCAAACTTAAGAAACACTGACTCCTTTGGAGATGACTTGGCACCACTCTCCGTTCACAGAGCAGAGTCCAAATAGTCTTCAGAGACAGGCCTGCAGGCCAAATTGTCATCCCCTATGGACCAGAAGCCAAGGATCTCTCTAGTGATGGTTAGAGGGCCCAAATGGCAGGGATACCCAGTGATGTCAGGAGGAATAGTACAGACAGAAGGTGCTAAGCAGACAGTTCAACTGCCATGTTTTGCCACCCCCTGTGAGAAGGGATTAGGTGTTCAGGCCAGTTTCTTGGGCATGGGGAGCCTTTGGCCAGAAGAGGTATAAAGCTCAGAAGTTTTTCATTCTGATAACTATTGATATAATTTTCATAGTGTGAGGGAGTGGTATGCTTTAAGGAAAGGCCTTGTGTATTTAAGGGAGGCCAGAGAAATTGAGGATGTCCCTGGGGCTAGATCGGTGCTATGACCAGAAATCAAAAAGGGAATGCATTATTTATTGCTGTGTAACACTATTGAGAGAGGAGGTAGTTAAGGGATGGATAGGCACATAGAGAGGGAGGGTCTCAGGAGAAGGGATAGAAAGGAACTATGTTCACAAGAACAACTGTGGGACAGCCCCTATACTGCCTCTACAGTTAACAGGAAAAATGTAAGAACTTACCCTTAAGCTAGGATGTTGCTCAGAAGTGACCATCCCAACTTTGGTGCAGGCACAATAAATCAACCTAAATTTCCCTAATTTAACCCAGCTCATTATAATGTCATTAAACATGACATTAGCATTGTGGTTTTAGCACCCCCATGGGTTTTGCTTAGGCACTCATGGGTAATAACCAAGATGGAGTCACTTTGGCAAACCTTAGGCATGCACAGCTGTAGTACCCCAAGGAGAAAATGTTACCTCTCCCATCTGGGCAAAACCCACAGAAGACTTCCTGGCTTCTGCCACATAAAAGACACAGAACACAGATGTCTTACTGACAACCTGCTTTCAAGACCCCTGTCTTTGCTGAGAGCTTTCCTTTTTCCCTGTAGATTCTACTCTGCCCTACTCACTCTCCACGTCCATGTGCCTAATTTTTCATGGTCATGGGACAAGAGCCTGAACCTTGCCATACTCCAGGGGCAAAGGAAGACTTCTAAACTATTCCCACAGATGTAGCAGCCTAAAACAATACATGTTTATTGTCTCCAAGTTTTGTGGATTAGGAGTCTGGGCACAGCTGAACTGGGTCCTCTGCTCAGGGTCTCATCTGAAAACTGCACTCAGTGGGTCAGCCAGAGCTTTGATCTCACCCCCACGCTCAGTGGGGGAAAGATCTGCCTCCAAGTTTGTGTAATTATTGATAGCATCAGTTCTTTGTTTCCTGTGGGACAGAGGTCCTCCATTTATCATTGGCTGTCAGCTAGGGCCACCTTCAGCTCCTTGCAAAAGGGGCCTCCTCAACATGACCACCCATTTCACCAAAGCTAGTTAAAGGCGTCTCCTGGAAGAAGGAACACTACAGTCCTATGTATTCTAATCACAGCAGTGACATCCCATCACCTGTTCTTATTCTATTAGAAGCAAGTCACTGGCCCCATCCACACTCAAGGGCATGAGTACTAGGAGGTGGGATCATGGGGGTCATCTTAGAGTCTGCTCACCACAAGAGAAGAAGGAAGGAAACGGGAGATTGGTCCTGCAGTCCTATGAGAAAAATATCCCGGGAAAGACAGATGACAAGAGAAAGCAGCAAGGTAGGGAATGAGCAATTTGCAAGGGAGAAGTTTTAAAAATTCAAGTCTGCAGGTGAAATGTATTTCACATGAATTCCAGATAGACAGATCACGTAGGCAAATCACATGTTTCAATTTTTTTAAATTATTATGTTTGTTAGTGAAAATCCACTCAACAGTTATGTAAAACCTGGACCTTACTGGTCCAGAAAGCAGGGAACAGGGAACACTGAGAGGAACAGACCCTTTCCACAAGAGAGATGGATCCCCAGTTCTCAATAAGCTCCCAGTTCTAACTCTAATATGGGCCAAGAAAAGAATGCTGTCACAATGGCTGCCTTCAAGCAAGTGGCAGAGGTAGGGGAGTGGCTGGGAGCACATCCAAGGCACAGAGGCACAATAGTGATGGGTTTATACAAGTAGCATCAGTAAGGGCTTAAAAGAAAACTTGAAACAGGTGCGTTAGATTTGGTGGAGCAGTTCCCCAAAGTGTTAGGGAAACTGATTTGTATTCATTGTTGCAGGTTGAGCAACTGGGCATTTCTAATTCAGAAAGAAATAGCTTATGTGATTAAAGGAAAGTTTGTTTTAGAGTTTTTTTCACTGTTATAGGGAGAGAGGGACAGGTGTAGTCATGGACACAGATCTGCCTTTAAAGCCAGTTTAAGAAGCACTTATGAAAACACTTGGACTGTGTATAGAAATTGCACATTCCTTATCCTTCAACTGCAGTACAGGTGGAGCAAATGAGCCACACAGAAAAAGAGGACTTAGAAAGTTCAGATGGTTGGTGGGGGAAGGGAAGAAATAAAATTCAGTGGGTGATTTTTCTAATGTGTAAATTTGTTCACATCACTCCCCTGCTTAAAGATGTTTAGTGGCTTCTAAGACCTCAGGGGAGGCGGGGGAGGAAACTGTCTTCTCAGGCTTACCTTCACAACCTCACCTCTGCTCACTTTCCAGTGGCATCCTTGGCATGTGCACTCCCCCTGCTGCCCTGGAGAACTGGGTCCCGTCCTCCCTTTATGAATTTCCAAGGGAGCAGCACTATATGGTGCTCAGAAGCATGGACTCCAGAGCCAGGCCATCTGGGTTCAGATCCTGGGTTTGCCCCAGGTAAATGGTGGCCTCCTGTGCTCAGTGTCTTCTTTGTTAAATGAACCCTCTCTCACAAGGTTGTTATGATAAGGGAGGAGACCACCCCTCATATTGTCTTGTGCCCAATTTCTGCCTCAAAGAAAAAGTAGGAGTTAAAGAAAAGACAGAAATGAAATCAGTAGTCAGACAGCCTGGTGCTGCATTCCAGGCCTGGTA